CAAGGATCAATCCGGGCGCAGCCGGGCTTGGGCTTGATGTGCTCAGCCTCGCACTTCACCTCGATTTTCTGTTTCCTGCCACGGGACGACTGGATGCCTCTTCTTTCAACAGGGGCTGCATTATCCCATAGCTGAAAGGGGTCTTCTCTAGGGTTGTACCAGAACACAATAAACAGCCCATTATGCGATAATATGCTTGTCTTCTTTGAGTCTGACCGTCTGACCGCATTTAGTGTAGTATTTCCACCGCACCATACGCACCATGCAAAATTGTTATACCTTATTCAAGGTCACACTTGGATGGCAAACATGTTCACGATGTTTGATCCAATGCTTTGCTCCCAGTTCCCGGAAAACCCTACTGTATTTCAAACGATGCCCGGCCTAAGGGAGTCCAGTTGCTGCTCGGAGCTGCTTGGCTTGAAGAGCTTCATACCTGTGATTCCAAGCCCTTTTTGGCGATACGTATATAATTTTACAATTGTGTTAAAGGTGTCAAAGGAAACACATCGCCCGATCATCAATGTGACTTGGAGATCTTGGAGCAGATCATTCGCTCGATTAGTCAATGTGTCAGGATTTGACCAAACATGGTACCACGGGTCTAGCGCCCATCGCCTGTGGCAAAGACGGAAGACGTACCTGGATTCGCTCCTGCAGAGCGCTGCATTGGATGACTGCGAGCATACTTGAGCTTCCAAGAAACACCTATCACCTACTAGTAGCTGCTAAGTAAAGAAACAAAGGACGAAACACCTCAGAGACTCATACCTTCTCCAATTCTGTGGGTATGAGTATGACATGCATAATAAAGCATGGTTGGCCGCAATCAGCATCCACTATAATAAACGACATGACAATTGGATCATAAGGATTCTGTACGCGTGCAGCTTTGGAATGCTTTTGATTCCGAAATGGCTAGACTCAGCTCAACTGACTCCCGATGTATTGAAGAATATATAAGTCTTTGTTTGATAAAAGTGCTCCAGATGCTTTCCGATGATCTCCGATGCAGGTAGACCGTGCTTTCACCCTGGGAGCAATATGGAGCAATCACGAAGGAGGTTAAGTTCCCTAAAACTAGGAACCCAATCATTAGTTGAGAGCTATCCTGCGTCCATACTAGTAGTTACTTAAGCTACTAGCGACTCCCTAGCTTCTACTAGCTACCTAGCTACTACCTCCTTCCTCTACTAACGGCCTACCCCCGTAAATAGAAATAACATGAAATAACAATATAAACATTGAACCAGCCCTTTCCAGACCGCTCAGGCCCTCCTCACACGAGGGTCCGGATATCGCTCGTGAGAGTAAGTGAAAGCAGATTGCTGACCTCACAAATCACAGTGGTCACAGTCCGACACATAGTATCATCGCATGGTGGCATTGCAAAACCAAACATGTCAAACATGAACCAAGTTTCTTGGGACTGCATGTCTATGTGGTCAGCCGTAGTTCACAGTCTTGCACGTGCCTTTGAAGGGAGGTTAGCAATTGGATGAACTACGTATAACATGTATAACAAGGAGCCGATGCCAGGCAGCTGAGTGCATAGAGTCCAAAATGCTTAAACCCACAAAACACAAACCTCAAGACGCGACCCTCATTGAGATCCCCGGCGGGCGCAAGCGCGGAACATGCACAGTCGCCCGAGCCAGAACAAACGGGATGCAAATTTGTCACACGCCCTTCAAAATTAAAAAGTTATGGGGGGACTCCGGGTTCGAGCAAGGAGCTATCTGCAAAGGTCGAACTCCTTAGACACATAACTCCTCGGAGGCTTGGACAGATGTCGCAATGAATGAAGGCAGTGTTATTCTTCAGGTCTTGACCGGCAAGGATTGAGCGTTTTTCCGGGAAACAAACCATGGCCACGGCAGCTCCTTACGCCACCCAAGGGAACAAAGCACGCTACCCACTGTTCCATCGCTCGACTTCTCCTTTCCCGCGCAAAGAGTTTGCCCAAGGAGTCAATACGCGACCATCGTGGCAGGCTGAAAAGGTCGATCCATAGTAGTGATGCCCCTAGTAGCGTCCTTGCTCCTAGTAGTATGGCCAGGAGCTCCTAGTAGCGATGCCAGGAGCCCCTAGTAGCGTTCTTGTTACACCCGCAGTGCCCCGTCCTAGATTGTGGACACTTGAACATTTGTCTCAGGCATCAGCGGCATTAGGATGGCATAGGTGTGTTTGGGAGGAGCGAACTGCATATATAAATGTCTGTTATTTCCCCGCTCTTGCGGCACTCCCGATGCCGCCAGCTAAGTCAAGCATCTTCTTGGTTTGGCTGAGAAATAATACTCAAAAAGAGCTGGACTATCGAGTTCAAAGCAGACTTCCACGATGGTCATCCGGCGCAAAATCATTGGATTGTATTGGATTGTGAGAGAAGCAGCCTTACTGTTCACCACAACGCAACAAGTTGACCCAAGCATCCTGAGTCATTGACAACAATCAAACCTCAAAACCGGAATGGTCTTCTGAATCGCGGCCCTGCCATCAAATGCGTGACTATGTGACCTGTTGCTGAACGGGGAAAAGCAGGACTCCGCTGCAGCATTCAGGCACTGAACTCCCACATCCGCTCTCAGCGGTGACCAAAACCGTTGACCATTGGCTGCCCTGTCCTGAGAGTGCGCAGCGAAAACGAAAACTCAACAACTCTATGAGGGATGGTCCTTCGGGGAGGGTTCCTTCAGCAATTCTCTGGGGTCCTGTGACGCACCTACGACAACTTGGTTAACTTATATTAACATTGGTTAATATATTCATACATGTTCTGCCAAACCTCGCCAGCTGGGCAGCGCACTTGCAAAATCTTGCAAACACAACTCCTGGCCGTACTACTAGGAGCAAGTAGCTACTAGTAACAAGAAGCTACTAGGGGCTCCTGGCATCGCTACTAGGAGCAAGGACGCTACTAGGGAGTGATGAGAGGGCAGCTGTACAACTCTTGGGGTTCGACGACGTCACCGAGCGCGACCGGCGCCGCGGCACGTTGCCCGCTTCGCCAAGGGTCTCAGGACGTTGAGGCCCTCCACCCCAAACGGCGGTCGCCTCAAAACAAGTTGCAAAGCAAGGATAGACCTGGACCCAAACCTGGGATCAAAGGGTTGTGACAAGCAAAGCATGTCTGAGAGCTCTTACACTTGGTTGTCAATGTGCTTCTAAGATTGAGTTGAGACAGTCAGGGTCCCTCGCTTTCTTCAGGATGTTGACTCATGGATCGAGAATTTTCTGCGCCCGCTGGTCAACACCGTTACTCTGCTGGCTCACAGCTGTGCTTTTTGCCGCCCACAACACCACAAAGGAGTCTTTGATGGATCAAGCATGATAAAGCCTCTGGTCATTCGAGTCTCCAATATTCTGATGTGTTACCAATGGCCACTGGACGCCCAGTTCTGAATGGCTCTCAGGCTCCCAGCTTCAACCCAGGGAGACCTCGGGAGACATCACAGTCTGGTTGCTTCATTCACGTTCATTCACAAGCACCAAGAGGAAGGGGCTGCTTGGTGGGATTGACTCCACAGGCATATTTGTTCTTCGAACATCCCAAAACATCACCTTGCTAATCCTCCCAGAACTGCTCATCTTCGACATGTGGATGCAAAATCTCAGATTCTGCGTTTAGAGCTCTTTCAGGTCTCTTGCATGTCCATCGGAAAAGAACCCGAGTCTTCCAACCCCGTTGTGTGCTGCAGCGCCACAGAGAAGGGTGCATAAATATTCAAATCTAGGGTGCTCTCAAGTTCACAATCAGAGGTTTGGGTGTTCAAGTTTATGTATCACTTAAGAGCCGCTACGCGAAACATGTGTCATAAGATGCATGAGTATCATTTGGAAATCCAGGATCTCTGACCCCCACGCCGTCGCTCTTAGGGTGGAGGCCATCGCTCTTGTTCCTAGTAAGGCCAGGAGCTACTAGTGGCGTCCTTGCTCCTAGTAGCGATGCCAGGAACCCCTAGTAGCTTCTTGTTACTAGTAGCTACTTGCTCCTTGTAGTATGGCCAGGAGCCCCTAGTAGCGTCCTTGTTCCTAGTAGCGATGCCCTTTGCTCCTAGTAGCGTTCTTGTCACTAGTTGCTCCTGGAGACCGAATGGCTGAGCTCCTGGGAACCCCTCCGAGTTCCGCAAGCTGAGAGCCACACTGTGGAGCCCCAAACGCCTGGACAAAGCGCCAAGGAGCACAAAGGTCGAGCCCGGTGTTGCAAATGGCTTGAACACAGAAAACCCATCAAGAAATGGGATCTACATCCATCTAGATGGAAATCTGTGGCTACTCAAATGCGCTCAGTCATCATTTGCAAATCATTGTTATATAATGTTATATAACTGTTTGAAACTGGTTGATTCTCTTCATTCAAACGACAATACACGAGCAACAACTGACATGAATGCGGGTTCGGATGCCTGCCAGTATCTCCCTTGATTCATCAGTGAATATCTGTATCCCAAACAAATGGATGCACCCATGGAAACTAAGAAATACAAGGAGCAGTCTTGTGGGGGGGTTGTTGGGCTGCCCTGGAGCTCCCGATGGCCGACAGAAAGCAGCGTTGAAAAAGGGAAGCCACAAATTATGTTCAGCGCGTCTCTGCCAAAAGTCGTGCACTGTTCTTCCTCCGTCTTTGGTCCTGCCTGACCGGGCAGAATGTTTTGCGTCTGGGCAAAGTGCGCCTCCGGCCGTAGCGAGTAACTGTATCTGAATTGGGAAAAAACCGCTGCCAAGAAAGTGCCTCTCTCCCAAAGAGCAAACCAAGGAAGAACTTCTCTGGTAGAGCTTGACTTTCTGCTGGCAAATGTCGCTAAGAGAGAAGAAGAAGAAGAAGAAGAAGAAAAAGAAGAAGAAGAAGAAGAGCAAGAGGAAGAGGAAGAGGAAGAAACAAAATCTGAAAATCTATGAGCCGGTGAGCACAAAGTCACGTGGTAGGACACTGACTCCATAAAGCTACCAAGTCTGTGGTGACCTATGCTCTGCTTACATGTTCAGCGGATAGAACTGTCCGCTGCATGGAACCACGGAACTTGTAGACCAGACAATGGGACGGCCAAAGGACCCGAACACCAGTCAGAGGATGGGGAAGCAAACCAAGGGACGGTTTCTGGACGCCCTATAGATGCTGCTCACTTTGCTTGATCATACTTTCCACCTAGACAGACAGGCTGATGTGCGCAGAAGTAATAATCGAAGAAATATGGTCGCAGCATCTCAACTTGTGCTCTGACTCTTCGGTACAGAAAGTTTCTAGGGGCTCCTGGCATCGCTACTAGGAACAACGACGCTACTAGGGGCTCCTGGCCGTACTACTAGGAGCAAGGACGCTACTAGAGGAGTTTGTCATGTTCGAAAAGCCTGACACATGAGCCACCCAGCTGGTCTCGCCTGTTGGTATTGTTGCGGCGTGGCCGCTTGTTGAGCTCCCGCCCTCAGTGTTTTTTTGGGATTGGATGGTGATTTTCCATTACAGTAGGATGGAGGCCATCGCTCTTGGGTCTTAGGTTGGAAGCCATCAGTTTTTTTTCCATATTGCTGTACACGAACTCTGTTGGCTCTCAAAGGCCCATATCTTCACAACTTCACAAGTCTTTCCCACTTTCCACGCTGGTTCTGGGCCAGCCCGGCTGCGCAGTCCCCGGCCTCGCCAAACCGCAAACCACCCCTCCGCTACCCGAGCTGGTGATATCTGGTGGATGATCAGACCCGGCCGGTGATGTTTCAACCTGTTTAGGATGCTGAAGATGCATCACCATAGGTGTCCTTAACGACATGTGAAACCTTATGAAACCTGAAACTCATGCCGTCCTTCGAACGCATCTTGCATATGGATTTTTTAAAAAAGACAATCTAAGACAGCTGTCACTCTGCAAAATTCCGTTTCTTGGGATCGGGATATTTATAAGGCCACTTAATTTCGGCAATTGTAAATATCATGCTTCCTCTTTCAAGTATATTTATATTAATAAGTTCAAGTGGCTGCCCGATTCAAGGTCTATGGGTCAATGGTACGGAAATCAAAAGATCCTCGTCCCCCATAGCCACCCCTCTCTCCCAAAACCTCTCCCGGCTGGTGGCCAGCTGAAGCAACCCACAAGCTGAAGCTCCAGACGGACAGTAGGAGTTCGCTGAGGTGTAGAAGCGGTATTCCGGATCCTGTGAGAGGTATAGGTATAAAGGCTTTACCAAACAGCACTCACAGCCGCTCTGGTTTTTAAAGGATTCCTGCAGTAGGCATCCATGTCTCCTGTTGTGAGAGTTTGCGGATCTTTGGTACCAAAGTGCTTGATTGCCCAAGTAGTTCACAGAAAAGCCGTAGCTCCCTCAGTCCTTGAGATCGATGCACGGTGCAGAGGAGGAAATGTCAGTCCTGGCAACTTCCGGGAATTGGGAACGAGGACAGCACAAAGGGATGGATGACCATGCAGATCATGACATGGATAGTTATTGTGGTCAATCCATGGTCAGAGTACTTTCCGAAGCAGGGAGGAGCAAGTCGCTGAACAACCAACTGCTTGCACCATAATTCAGGGTGCATGGCCGCAAATCCTCAATGCTGCGGTGACATGGCTTCCAAAACAGCTCATGCAGTCGTGAAGTCGTGGAAGTCTGAGGCAGTTCCAACGCCTCTTGCATGTGAGACCCCGCTTTCAGTGGCAAATCCAACATGACAACATCTCGACCGGTCAGTCCCTTTTATTCTCATGAAGATACTGAGATAGTAGGACTGAAGGTTGTTGGCCTGCGACGCGTGTGGAGACCCATAGACATGACATGCCAATGGAGATGCACATTTTATGACGCAAATCCACCTAATAACTAAGAGTATTTGGCTGGAAACGGGGAACAGAATTTGCTGGCGAAGAAAGGTCAGTTGCGACAGAAATGAACTCCAACAAACGTTGATCCACGTGAAGTTCGTGAAGGCCTACATGGCCTGTGCCTACACAATCGTCTCACGCCTCCATCTTGAGAGTTCCCTCGACGTGCTGACCTGCATTCACCGCCAAGGGAACCTCCAGCAAGAATCTGATCTGGTACCTCGATGCAAATGTTCCAGCTTCAATCTTTGGAAATTGGTGTGGATTTTCAAACCTCATGCGGTGCCCATGTCTTCTGAATCAATCAACCGCCACTGAAAACGACATCAACAATCACATGTGTGTTCTGAAAAGGGGGTCTGACGAACTGATGCCAGGCTAGCATGGTCTTTGTTGCTGTAAACAACCATGTATCATAAATATACCTTTTTTGCTTGCAAACATGCTGAGGTCACCAATGGGTTCCAGAACACCACGGTGCGGTCGATAGGATCACCGTCTGGTTACTGCCCTGGCGAGCAATCGGGATCCGCAGGGCAGCAGGCAAATGCAAGGTGAAGCAATCCCCCCCGGCTGAACTGTGCTTATATTCATCTTTTGCCCACCGATGGGCCTAGCGGCCTAGCAGTGACATGTAAATTCCTTTATCTGGGATCCGTCATTCTTAGCCAGAAAAAAAATTGTTTGCCAAATTTTTGCCTTCCTGTGTTTTATCTTTCGCCGAAGTATGCTGTATTTATGTGTGCTATGTATGTTGTATGATGGATATCCAGTTTGTTCATGTCAATGGTTTCTTCTTTACTGGCAAAGGCAAATGCGAAATAAAAATTTCACTGTTTGTCAGCATGTGTCTTCTACTTGACTGTTGACACCCTGTATGTCTCTTTAGCAAGAATCTCAAAAATTGCAAAAAACACTGTAGTAGCCGGTCACGCAGACTTACTCATATTGGGCTGGGGGTCAGATGTGGCAGGGTGATTTTTCGCCAATCTTGAGCTGAATTTTCGCCAAATTTTCGCCTTTTGCAGGGTAGAGTTTTGTAGCAAAGCCGTCCCCCAAAGCAAGAGCAGGAGCAGGAGTAGTAGTAGTAGCAGTAGTAGTAGTAGTAGTCGTGGTAGTAGTAGTAGTAGTAGCCGCGGTAGTGGTAGTGGTAGTGGTAGTGGTAGTGGTAGTAGTAGTGGTAGTAGTAGTAGTAGTAGCAGCAGCAGCAGCAGGAGTAGCAGCAGCAGCAGCAGCAGGAGTAGGAGTAGTAGTAGTAGCAGCAACAGCAGCAGAAAGAACATCTTTATCTTTCGCCAAAAATTTTTTCGCGAACTCGAGAAAAACTTTCGCCAAATGAGGTTTTGACATGTTCCAGGGTCATCGTAATCAACGCTATGTATTAGGACCTTTAGATCGACAACCACATACAAAAAATACGATGAAAACCAGAACCAAAGTTTACATGCCCCAGATCTGTGGGCGACCGCGTCCCTTCACAAGATGCCTCGAAGTGGGCGTCGAACCAGCCCGCCAAACCATGGACCTGGACCCAAAAGTTTTGCTCGCGCAAATCCAGCGCTGCATGACCAGTAGTGGCAAGTGTGGTCATCATCAAGGGCAAATCGAGTTTACGCGAATCGGCCGACCAAACCAGTGCCTTCGGTGCCGGAGCCGAGAGTTGAAGCTTAAGAAATGATGGTATGACATTACAATCATCGATCGAATCTCTCAACGTTGTTCACCATTTTCACCTGGCCCCACCGACATTCCCTGTCTGTCTGTGTCTCGCACCAAGCAGGGTTGCGAAATCTCGAAGTCGAACGGGATTTCAATCCTCAGTTCAACAATGGTCCGTTGCAATCCCTTCGCAAAAGATTCAAGAAGGAACCGGGTCGCGCGGGTCACTCACTGGTCACACTCACACTCACAAAGTTCGGGCCAAACCTGGCCACTGACCTGGTCGTCTCCACGCACCAGCCAATCACATCCCCTAAAGGAGCCCTCGTACCACGACACAAGTTCCATGTACGGGGATGTAAAGTGTGTGTGTGTACAGTGAACACACACACATATATATATATATATAGGGCTACATAGTGACTAGGATTTAAGCCAATTTAAGGGCACGCGTCCCAGCATCATTTGCAGCGCCGCTCAGCCAACTTGCCGGCTGGCTGGTATCTGGCGACTGTCCACCACGTGGGAGGAGGAGTGTGGAAGGCACAAGGTGACCAGCTGTTCACGCACTCAGGGTTGGGCAAACAGCTCTGCACAGCCTTTTGAAAGGATTCCCAATTCAAGCAGCTGCAGCGCAACTTTTCTAGGCGTGACCTGTGGAAGCGCTGGCGGCACCGCCCATTCACTCGAGTTTCCTCAGGCAAACTTCAGACAAAGCATTGAGTTCGGCAGCGCCACGTGTTGTTGTCTTACAGGGGCAAGGGTTTGGTGTTTTCTTGGAATCACTGTAAACAGGAAGATTCCTGTGGCAGACTTGGCCGCAAAAACACATCCTCCAAAACCCGCGTCAACAAAGCAAAGGCATGTTGAACGTCAACAAGCAAAGGCGGTTTTGCAGCTACACTTATAGAACATTGGCCATGGTCATCACTTAGAACATCTTGATGTTGAAAGCATGACATGAAGGGGTTCAAGGCTTAGAACATAGGTATGAAAATCAAGAGCGTGTATATACAGTAGTCGCTCCGCAACTAAGGTCTGATTTGGCTGGCGCTGCACATGGTGCTGATCGCGCGTTTTCGTCAGATTTGCTCATTGTTCATCCTTTTAAAAAGCTTCAAAGCGCCATCATGGCATCAAGCTTGCATCAGCCTTCTGTTCCCGCACAATGTGAAAAATACGATCCTGTCCTCTGCAGCTTCCATAACTTGGACTTTTGGAACGTCTGTGACTGCGACCCGCAGTTCGCCGTCCAAAACTTGCTGCAACTGGCTGCAACATAGTTGCCACTATGCGCCCATCATCTTTGAATCGGACACTGCTGCTGTCGTGCGACCATCGCAGTTGATCAACCGCCACCTCCCCACCAAGATCACCACTCACACGTGACTGGCTTGACTTTCAAACTCACGGAATCCACAAACCATGCCCTTCAACAAGCACTCGTGAAAACTTCAGACAATTAAGTCATATGAAAACGTTCACGCTCTCATGCGTTGTGGCATGTGAAATGTCGCGCGTGTCGGCTTGTCCGAACTGAGATTTCACACCAAGCCGGAGGACTGCGAGGACTGCAGCTAGAGCTGCAAACAAGTTTACCAAAACGCTTGAGACAGAAAGCAGCAGCGATGACGAAACCTAATAAGCGCAGAAAAAAAAGACGTATCAAGCAATTGTGAGACATCATGAGATGTAGCTGAGGCTGGAAATTGGCTGCAAAAAGTCAACAGAAGCTTTGCCCGAGCACATGACCCAATGAGTCTACTGCCGGATACGCCACACAAGCAATCCAATGAAGTTGCGTTTGTATACTAGTTGAAGCGACCCACTGTGGCCCTGAGTGTGTATATTGAGTGTGAGACGATCTTTGGCAATGGGTAAGCCACAACGCTCCCCAACGCGCGAAGTCCAAGGTAAATTTATCCATGTTGCCACTCAGGGGAGGCGCCGTGGAGGACAGCTGGGGCGGCGCTACGCAGATTGAGTTGCTTGCGACACCAAAAAGCAGCTCACTTAGTCCGAAAATGCGCACGGCACCACAACGAGAGCGCAGTTTCGAAGAGCACCCGCCCGCGTCCACCAGATTCTGCGAGCCTGCGCAATCGAAATGCACTTCGAAGATCTCGAGGTGAATGAATGTATTGTAAATAGCAGCGAATTAGCCGCAAACGCCGATGAGAATCTCCGATCAAACAACAGTCCTTAACCATCCTTAACCACTACCATAAGAACCCCTAGTGTGCACACACGGTTTGGGGAAAAACAACATATGATTTGCACGCGCCAGTCGGGAAATCAGTCAAAGTCACAGGGCACTAGAAAGATCAAGAAAGATGTATACAACACGGCCAAGCTTTGTTTGAGCATCTCCCGTTTAGATTTGTTTAGATTCTGGAGTCGAGTCGAGAACCATCAAACACCACCTTACTGCTGGAGCAGCTCTGAGGTTCATCGAACGCCCTGGGGACTCCAGGCTTCTGCAAGGACTCCACCGAGATCGTCATGAAATCAAACCTGCCACAAGCCACGAAGAATTAACGGGCCCAGTGCTGTGGTTTCTGCCCTTTGGACCTAAGTAGCGTCCTTGCTCCTAGTAGCGATGCCAGGAGCCCCTAGTAGCGTCCTTGCTCCTATACATAAGTGCGAGAAGACGCGAGTTCAGTACAACCTGCCCCGCTCCGTGTTCTGCTTCAGGAAGGGGTCCTGTTTCATCCCGCTATGTCCCGCTAAAGGAAGCACGGATGAGGATTTGTTCCTTTTGCTATGGGAAGGCACCCAAAGGTTGCTGAAGCATCAGGCATATATCAGGTCAAGAGACCTCGCCTAGGTCGAACAGTTTTGGTCTAACTAACAGTCTAACCTGAAGGTTTCACCGTGCGACAACTGAAGCTTTCACCCTCCAACCTGGTCTCGATGTGCTTGGATACCAAGCACTCGGGGTTGATGTAGTCCACAATGGGCTGCCGGAAATGCTCCCTGGAGTCCAAGCCATGTTGGGAAAGGCACCCCAGGCTATCGACAGCTGCAATTCTGTCAGGAAGGGGCCGTCGGGCATTTCAGTGCAACCATATCGATTCCATCAGCCATCATCAACCATAAACAGGGCCGTTGCTTCACTTATCTTACTTTCAGCGGTCAAGTCAGGGAGTCCGCCCCAAGAAAAATGGCATGGCATGGAACTGGATTGAACACTCTCAACATGAGAAGAGCACAACAACCCGACAAGCTACTGGTAACAAGAAGCTACTAGGGGCTCCTGGCCTTACTACTAGGAGCAAGGACGCTACTAGGGGCTCCTGGCATCGCTACTAGGAGCAAGGACACTACTAGGAGCAAAGGGCATCGAATGGCTGGACCTGCGGGTGAAAGTTTATCACAACGCAGCGCATGCAATGTTCCCATTTCATTTCAACCCTCCCTGTCTTTGTACATCTCTGGACAGCCGCAGACAGGTCGATTCCATAGAAGTTGGTGTTCTTCCAGAATCCGTTCCTCAGCACATTTCACAACTCAACCAGCGACTTTCTTTCAAGCATGAGTCTGCTACTCCAAAACTCGCGAGTGAATGCAGCTGTGCGTCTTGTTCGCTTGTTCCCAATGAAGCAAGGAGTCGGAGAAAGGTGCGACACCTGAGGTGGAGGCTGCCACAAGTGAACTGATGGGAGAAGGATGGGAAGGTGCAAGGATTCCCAGAGCTAGGCCTGAGCTATAGGCTTGTCTGTGCAGGTTTACAATAGGGTGGAACTGTTGCAAGCGTATGTGCAACATTCCACTCACAGCTTTGGGTGGTCTAGTGATGTCAGCTCTCCTTAGGCTTCCCCGCAAAGTGTTCCCGCGTTGGGGAACATCTTGCCGCCGGGCTTGAGAAAGCGATCTCTTGCGCAAAGATAGCTTTCGATCATCCTGAAGGGATTGTCAAATGCCCAGCCTCAAGTCTCAATATTGAAATCAAAACACTGTGACTTGAGGCCTTCCCTTGTCGGTTTGAGGCCGGGCACCCTCTGCTGTTCCCCTTGCCAACGCACTCCTCTCGTTGAAGAGGAAGGTCCCAATTGGCTCGGAAACAAGCACGTCCACCTGCATCTTGGGCGGGAAAAGCTCTCCCAGCTTTCTGAATTTCTCTGAGGGGCCGGAGTTTGTTGCAAAACGATGTAGATTACAAGTCTGGTGGGTGTGCTCAAAAGGCCTTCAAAATGCCTTTTGAGATTTGACAATGGTCACTTACCTGCCCTTCTACAGAACATGTTGATATTTGAACCTCACATGATCTCACATGACCGCCTTCCCGTCCAGCTCAGACGGGGTGATGGTCTCAACCGGCCGACTGATGACCTATGGCAAGGCGCCGCACTTTCAGCATACTTATTAGTGTTGTCCCAGCATATCCATATGGTGATTTGCCACCAGTGCCACGAGCAGAAGCAAGTGGAAGCCAAACACGGCTGAGTGTCTCTTGAATCGTCCACCAGTGTGGCCTGGATCTTCTTGGTGAGAAATGCGTTGGCATCGGCCAGGAGCCGAACCACTTCACCCATAGACGAGGCCTGTGGCAGGCAGCGGAAACGACGAGATCTGGCCAGGCCACAACATCGCATCCTTCAACGCGTCGAAGGCAAAAGAGAAATGAGATATTTGCACATCACACATCATCACACATCACATGTTCAAAATCTGCACGTCAAGAAGCCACAAGTATCAACCCATGTCATCTCACACTACATAGCCCTCTCGATATCACTCTCTGTGCAGTGGCCATTGGCCAAACCGTCGCACCGGCCGAGTGTCCCACTTCCACCGCGTAGACCTTCTCGGCCCCTGCCTGGCCGAAGGAGCTTGGCCGGCACGGCTAAGGCTTGATGCATGGTCTCTGGACCAAAGGAACAAAACGAACAGACTAGACGCATAGAGAGGAAGAGAGAACTCGAAAGCTAATAAAGCTTAACTGTTGAATATGCTGAACAATTTCCTACTGCCAAGCACATCATCACCAAGCATCCATTTTGATCAAGTGAGCTGAGTTTGGAGAAATGAATGCCATTGCTAGTAAGTTGGAGGCCATCGCTTCTAGGTTGGAGGCCATTGCTAGTAGGTTGTCTCGTTTGGAAAATTTAATGTTTTGCCTCATCCGTTTGAGGAGTCAGAAATCCGTTCAGCCCACCTGCACCGCAAAAAAAGGAGAGAATCCCGCTGCCAGCTCCCAGGTCCATCGCCGACTTTCCCGCAAAGTCATCGGGATTCTCCACCTTCGGAGAAGTCGGATGTAAGTAAAAAAGACTAAAGCTCCACGAAACATCTTACTTGGGCCTAATGGCATATGGTGCAAGGGGGGGGTTCCTCATTTGGGGATCTGCACATGCCTAGCGCACGCAAAAGAAACATATGGTCCATATGGGCATGTCTCAGAGCTAAATCCGGATGTGTTTTGGCAGACTCATAGACTTAGAGCCCCCCTTAGAGCTGTTAGATCAGGGTTTCTACAGGGCAAGCACCTCCCAATGGCACACCTTTGCATTGACCGCGCAGGTGTAACCTTTGACCATCGAGGTCATAGTTGCTCTTCTTCAATCATATTCAAATTGGATTGCGGGTCAAAAGCTCGAACCCCAAAAGAGAAGTTGGCTTCCGTAGTATGTTTGGTTTCGATTGTTTCGGGATTTAAGGATGTCAACCAAGCCTGATTTTGACCCACAATCATGTCAATTAATCGGCTGCCAGTTGTCGAAGGTGCAGGAGGACGCTAGGTTCAATCTTTCCGTATCATCTTGGTTACGGTCTGCTTTTATATACTATCTTGGTTTCTTCTATCACATGTGCTTCAACCACTGTGCGCCCCGACAATGGCTCTGTTGTAGGTGGAAGTCCGCACTCCATCTTGGAGCATATTCCTCACTTCGACTCAGCCATGGTCAGCCAATCAAAACGATTCTACCATCGCACTTCAATGTCTTTCTGCGGCCCTCTGCCCCAACAATTTGATGGCCACCTCTACTTGTTTGACCTGAACTGTATGGCATTCTTTCATGGGGAGACGAGGAAAGACAGGGGGGACCATGCCTCTTGAATTTGCACAATACGAGCAGGCATGGGCTGGGAAGTTGCTGAAAAATCAGGAGATATGGTATGGCCCAAGCCCCACATGGTTTGCAACACCACTGGTGCAAGCAAATTGGATGTGTACATCGGGTCAAATGGTCAACCAACAAAACAAAAAGAAGGATGACATGGATCGGCCTGCTTCGGTGGGACACGGTAGGACCATCCTTTTGAATTGAAGGTCACCATACGCCCGAGCTGCAAAATCCCATCCGCCCGAGGCTCTGCTGGTTGGACAGCTTTGCATAGTACTGGAAGTAGCTTTGAACACCTGGAAGGTTTTGAGTTTGGTTGACAGCAAAAGCAAAAAATGCAAAAAGCAAACTGACATAATATAAATCTCTCAGGTTTATTCTGTTGTCATCCATCCACGTGCCCCACAGCACCTCTTGGGGGGAAGGCTTTTGCAGTCTCGAATGTGGATATGATCACAAGGCCATGACAAACACGTGGATGTGTATTGGATCGGAACAAGGAGACCATTTGTCTGCCTGTTCTCCCTGAATTGGTTGTGCAACTACTCCAAAACATGGGGTCATCTACTATTCTCAGGAAGAGGGTCTGATGGGTCTGCAAGTTTCGGGATGTAAAATGATGTAAAAACAATGGGGGCAGGGGAGGGGGCCAGCACTCAACCAAAGGATCATGAAAGCGCAACCGCTGGCGTGACAAAGGCATCCGTCCGAGCTGCTGCTTTGATCGTATTGCTCGAAGCGCTCGTAATCCTCGGTGGTTGGTGCCAACATGTGCCAACAATGCACCACGGTGAGTACTCGAATTTCTAACCGTGGACTCCCCATAAGTAGTCACTTTTGAAAGCGCAAACCCATGACCTCAATTGCTGGTCTCCCATCAATGAACTCTGCCTAGCTAAGGACAAATGATGATTATGATTTACAATCTGTGGAACTACCTGGTGATGACCCAAGACAGAAGAACACCTCCCTACCAGACTTTCCAAGGAACAGCCTTCCTCCGCAAAAGCTCCGCAGTGAACTGCTTCAAGCCTAGCCTCAAGGGATGGTGAGCGGTGCCCGTCTGGCCTGCAAAGACTTGATGATCTTTGTTCCCGGTTTGTAGAGACCACAGTTTCAGTTTGGCACGTCACAAGTGTCCGGATTTCAATTCCAAAGTTGTGTCAATGTGCCCTGTGAAAACCTCAACAGTTTTGTAGACCTGCGCACCAATGGCACCAACCACTGAATCCTCCCTCGGCGTTCGGGCTCATCCTCGCAGCGAAGCCCCACGTGGCCTTGCTTCTCCAAGTCCAAGACCTCGAAAACTCGCAGTAAACGAGGCATTTCATGGTTGGAAGCACCAACTCCATGAAGTGTTTGATGTTTTCGTTCGCTTTAGTAGTTGCCTATCTGCATGGCCGATGAACGAAATGCCCGGCTCAGCCCTCCCACCCATGCGCCCAAAATTGGTCGGGCCACATTGCCCAGCCATGCATGTTTCTTGTTTTCACTGTTTGTTTCATGTTCAGTCTCCCCAAATACGAAGTGAAGCTAGGTGAGGTGAAGAGATGTTCATGGGCGGATGTTCCAGCTCAGCAGTGGATCTAGGTGACCGGGTTTTCATGGACAACTGGCAAGCACTACACTTCCAGTGAACCTCGGCCGGGTATATATTTTGATCTGTGACTCCTCGAATCACTCGAAACTGAGCTGCCCCGCCAGAAAGTGTGGCCCCATTGCCGAAGCTTTGCGAATCTCCGAAAGCGGCAGGCTCTGCTGGCCCAAGACAAGGCGCCAGTTCTTGGCTGCCTCCCACCGACATAACGGTGGGCGTTTTCAGCACTGGAGGACCATTTTGTCACGAAGCTGGGGTCTAGAGCGTTCAAATGACCGCAAAAAGCAACCCCTCATCATCCTTCATCTACAGGTCGTGACCTCCGAACCTCGTGACATGACTGCCAAATATATATATATATATATGTAAAAGCTGCACTTTCGAACGACGCTCGATCTGTACAAAGGTGCTTCAGCAAATGATGTTGGCAGAGCCGAAAGCTGCACAAAGCTTCACCCGCAGAGCCATTAGTTCAGGTAAGTCAAAAGCGCAGCGTGTGGACAAGAAACGGAACAAAGAACAAACCTTAAGGTGTGAACATGAAATTCTGAAAGTACAGTGGTGATTTGAGGAGGAGGTGGAGGCTGAAAGTATTTTGCTCTGTGATGTGCCTTGTGCATTGTCCTTCGTGCATCTGTTCGCTGCATGACACCACACTGAGGTTTGTGAAACCCACCCATGCGAGCGTCTGCCAAAACATACTGTCAATTAGAGGACATGATTCAGCAAGGTTATCGTTTTTTAGGGGGACCTATCGCTTTTGCAGGTTTTAGCCACAATGTCAACATAGCTGAACATATCCAAAATCTGCGGAAATAGCGTTGTCGCTTTTGAGGGTGGCCCAGTATCATTTTCGCAGGTTTTAGCCCAATTCCTGAGATTCACGACCGCTCTTTACCAAATTAGTCATTGCACGTTTTGGCGGTTGCTCAAGTTGGAAGGGGAGAAAATGCCCACGATACGGCATCCGTTACAGCTTCAACTCACCTTTGACGTTCAGCTCAGCACTTGTCCACAAACACTTTCCCATGGTTCTCTGAAGTGTACTTGACAAGTGCCACTAGCTCACCCGCAAAGGTTGCCACTCCAGCTACCGTGCCCACGGTATACGCACCCAATCCCAGTGGAAGGCATGCGAGTGCTTCAGCACCTGCAACTCCAGCGCCAGCCACAAGCCCGGCCCCAGCCACAACAAAGATCGCCAAAGGCACACCAACACCCCACGCGACTGTCTGTCCAGGGGAAGGTGCAGTTCCTGCTGGGAGCAATTGGATGCATCTGGGCTCTGTGCTCAGGCATGGTTTCCCGTTTTGCAATGCCAAGTATTTACCTGTGGCCGCATTGCGAAATTGGAGAGGCGAGATGAACTCCTTGTCCACCTGGATCACATCCCAGTGGTGATGAGATGTCCAAGGATCCTCTGTGAGCTTCAAGTTGCTGTCGAGTGTCTTTTGAGGATGCCAATCATGCCGGATCACAACTTGAAGAGCTTTGTCCTCCGAAGTTTTCTTCCACACTTCGAGCTTCCAGCGCCACTGGCACTCCTGTCTATGAACTCCACAAACATCCTTGTCCGGCTTGGTGATCAGGAGTGATCTGCCGCATTGGGATTGCCCCAATATAAGTGCATTGCCCTTCTCACCGCCAACGAGATTCACTCGAGATTCGCCGTTCCCCATTCCGATGGAACTGAAGCAGCACCCGGATGGTCACTATAGAGTCACTAGAGCCTCTGCGGCATGAATCATACCAGCAAAGCATTGCACTTCTCCCATTTTGGAAATGATGTTTGCTCTACAAGAGACTATGAACACCAAGAGACTATGAACACCTTCACACACCGATGCAACAAAGGTTGTTGAATCTATGAAACAAAGAACCGCACGGGCAAAGCGCATTTAACATCAGTTCGTAGAACAAATAGAGAAAAAACAAACATCCATAGATAAACTATGATAAACCAATCCCCAAGGGCACACCGTTTTGATACGATCTTCCTCCAGTTGATACGACCTAAAGCGAGGCCCCAGTATCACACTATGCCGGGTGATCCGACCAACATGAAGTGGCCGACGTTGAAGAGGTCAAAAGTAAAAGGGATGAGGCGAACCACGGACGGATGAAACGAGAAACCACAGCCAATCGCAAGAACCCAGCGAACCTCAACAATTAGATCCAACCCTCATTCAAACCAAACAATCACAGAAAAAAATTATGACCCTCAATCGCCCTAATTCTGACAACTCTTCCAGTAAATCATCAAAAAAGGACCACACTTTGAACTGAGCATCAATGTATATATGTGTATAAACATAATATAAAGACACTGCTACAATATACTCGCCAGAACACCCCCTTTTTCCCTTTGGAGAGCGCCTCTTTGCTCATGCGGACCTTCGCGGCAGCCTCCCCGGTGGGCAGCCACCGGAGGTCGTTGGCATCGAACCTGCCGTTGGCATCAACTCCTTCTTAATCATTTGTTTGCCAAGGAATAGGGAAGTTGTCATCGAACATGATTTCAACTGACCTATGGGTGATGTTCAATGCAGCCCAACACAGAACTGCTGGCCAGTAGGGAAGTTTCGGGAGCCGTAGCCTTCAAACGTATCGCTGCGTTCATTGCCAAAATTTCAAATACGGGAGAAGGCGAACGAAATTGTAGCCCGGAATGGATTCCGATCGTCCCAAATAGGCCCGCAAAGCATGCCCTGTCAGCTTCACAACGACTGCTTGGTCCAAAGGGCTTGGTCCAAAGGTTCACTTTTTTTTCCCCAAAACAGTGTGGATACACTTATAGGAGTAAAGCAGCTGATGCTTAGATCGCTGAAGCGCGCCTACTTCAACGGCTATAGCTACAGTACATTCATGTGTCTGGAAATGTTCGAAGTGCATTTCGACTGCGCAGGCTCGCGAAATCTGCGTGGGCGCGGCGGGTGCTTCTAGTGACTGCGCTCTCGTTGTGGCGCCGTGCGCATTTTCGCACATGGTGGTCACTTTTCGTGGCAGGCGCAAAGGAAACCTCGTGTTTTCGTGGTCCAAAGTCAACTTTTCGTGACAGGTGCAAGGGATCGGAGCGGTTTTACTTCGACATGCAGATTTCGTGGCAGGTACAGCACTTTGGACATGGCGGTGATCTTCGACGAGCCCTGATTTCGTGACAGGTGCAGTGAATCGTGACTTTTGGACATGTGGCTTGTTTGCAGATTTCGTGGCAGGCGCAGCTCATTGTGAACCTCCACGCGCAGAACTCGTGACACGCGCACACACAGCACTTTGTGAACCTCGACGTGCAGATTTCGTGGCAGGCACAGCACTTTGTGAACCTCGACGTCAGGCACAGCACTTTGTGAACAGAGTTCGTGACAGGCACAGCACGTTGTGAACCTCGACGCGCAGATTTCGAGACAGGCACAGCACTTTGTGAACCTCGCCGCGCAGATTTCGTGGCAAGCGCAGCACTTTGCGAACCTCGACGCGCAGATTTCGAAGCAGGCACAGCACTTTGTGAACCTCGACGCGCAGAGTTCGTGACAGGCGCAGCACTTTGTGAGCCTCAATGCGCAGAGTTCGTGACAAGCACGGCGCTACTCACAGCACTTTGTGAACCTCGACGCGCAGATTTCGTGGCAGGCACAGCACTTTGTGAACCTCGAAGTGCAGATCTCGAAGCAGGCGTAGCACTTTGTGAACCTCGATGCGCAGATTTCGTGGCAGGCACAGCACTTTTTATGAACCTCGAAGTGCAGACTTCGAAGCAGGCGTAGCACTTTGTGAACCTCGAAGTGCAGATTTCGTGGGACTTTTCACACTCACACTCACACTCACACACACATATTCATTATCACTCACACTCACACTCACTCATTCTCATTCACACTCACTATCTCTCACTCACACTCACACTCACATTCACTCTCACTCTCACTCACACTCACTCTCGCTCATTCTCACTCGCCACTCACCCACCCACTCTCACTCTCACACTCACACCCACTTTCACTCTCACCCTCTCACACTCACCCTCTCACACACTCACACGCACTCTAACACTCACTCTCACTCACTCTAACACTCACTCTCACCCTCTCACTCTCACTCTCACCCACTCACAATCACATTCACACTCACATTCACACTCACTCTCACGCTCACTCTCACTCACTCTCACTCACACTCACACCCACTCTCACACTCACTCTCACTCACACTCTCACTCACTGTCACTCACACCCTCACTCACTCACTCACTCCCTCGCTCGCTCGCACACGCACACGCACACGCACACGCACACGCACACGCACACGCAC